AATCTCTAGCAGGCCAGCATTGTATCACAACTTGTTATAAATATTTTTATTTAACTTTACCTGCTGCCCCCCCTTTTCTATAACCTGGGCGAATCAAAAAAAAATTTTTAAACTCAAGATCACAACTGCCAACTGTAGCCAATGGAATACTGGCAGTTTAACTAAACTTTTAAATATCTTTTGTAACATTAGCGTGTAACCATTAATTTTGAGAAGCAAAAGCAAAACCAATTTAAACAATCTATCTTCTCTAAAATCAACACCAAGCAGACCACCCCTATGCTACAAAGTTTTGTTGCTAATTCTCTACACATGAATGCATGAAGCAGCTTTTAATCTCATTGAAGAGACATTGGTCTAAAATCTTACTTTCTATATACCTGGTTTCTGAACGACTCCAACACTGAGCTAGTTCCACGCCACCTTTCGTTATCAAAGTTGTAAATTTTTAATTACACCCAATAATTTAAGCCAATAGTCTATAACCAAGACATGTAGAACATTTTTATACTTTTAAAACCAATTAGAAACAACAATGAAATGGCTATATATCTTATTTTTAGATCAAACAAAATTTCTTGTCTTTCTAGCTGTAATTTCAAGAGAAAAGCACTTTGTCACAGAGGTTTTTCTAGGACAAAACGACTCTTAGCTTCCTTATAAAACCCAAAATGCTGTTGGTCTCTTTTAAAAGCAGCGTATGTCAACCTCAATTCCTGAAAAGACCTTTTCTAGTTCTCAAAGGTTGGATCAAGCAGTTTTAACGATCTTTCTTTTTGAACACGTAACAAACACAGAACATTTAGACAATGAAACAAAGAGCAAACACAAACACGTGGACATTAGCGCGCCAAGGACAAACAAAGAACTTTTAGGAGCTACAGAGAAGTTCAGGACGTCTCCCGAATTCTCTGTTTCTAGATGAACTCTGAAATAGCCTTTTCATTCTTTTTGTTGACACAGCTCAGAGAGAGGGCACCTGTATTTTTTAAAACTCTTTCTCTCTCTCTCATATTTAAAATGTAACTTTTCATCTCATTCATCGGAGATGTAGCGGGTAGTTATTTTAACACTTCAATACCCTGCTTTCTAATTCCTTTTCTCTCCTAAACACTTTTCTTGTAAACACAGCTTCTAATTAACCATTACTAACTCCAGCACTCGATCTCGCGGCGGCGGCCGGCTATTCGGCTGGCATCTATCCTCCCCATCTGTCTCTCCATCTGAGTCCTCTGAGGGAGCCATCTCCTCCGACCCAGAGCTATCACGCCCCAGCACTTTCTTTACCGGATAAAGAGATCTTTTCCTGAGGCTTCCTATCCTCTCGTCTCTCCCGAGAGCGTACTTTCTCTCATCTCTCACTTCCTTAGACTGTATGTCTTTGGAAAGGCCTTTTTCCTTAAATATACTTTTTCTTCCTTTTTCTTTCTGAATTCCTAAGCGCTTCTGTCCTGTCTCTGTCCCTGACATGCTGATTTGTACTATTCTCCGAACCCTCACGAAAACCAGGAGCAGAAAAAGTGATGCTGTTAGCACCAAGGCGAAAGCCTCTAGCGTTCCTGCCAACTGGGGAGGGAAGTGAATCAAATCAAATCGAAACATATCTTTCAGAGAACGTTACCCCGTCCTACGGTTCTGGATTCACTCCACGCGTGGATAGGAAGCTGCGGAGGGTCTTCTGAAAACGTGCCGGCGATGGAAAATTCTCCCGGGTTTCGGCACCAACTGTGCGGGGCGCGCGTGTAATGGTCTCGCCGGCAAAAAACATACACACACGCACACACACATACACACTAGAATCCTTCCGTAGGAACACGTTTATTTCCCTAAACCAAAATGGTGGTAGAAGACGAAGAAGGCGTGGGAAAGCACTGCCTATATACCCCAGAGCGGGGTATTCACCCCCTGATTGGCTGCTTACTCGTAGCGCGCCAAACGCCGTGGGACGGGCTTAGCTTTGGCGGGCTAACCATGGCACATGCGCAGTTTACTTGGTACTAGGAAGAATTACGGGCGACAGCGCCACCTAGCGATGGCGGACTTTGTCAGCTCTCGTGGCGGCTCCCAACATTCAATACAGTTCCTCATGTCGTGGTGACCCTTAACCATAAAACTATTTTTGTTGATATTTCATAACTGTCATTTTGCTACTGTTGTGAACCATGATGTAATTATGGTTTTAGGCAACACCTGAGAAAGGGTTGTTATGGGGTCACAACCCACAGGTTGAGAGCCACCTCTCTAAACTATCAGAGTTCTTAGGGACTCATCAGATTGGTTGTTGAAGCATGAACAATCAAGATGATCAGAAGGTGGCATTTTGATGTAACATTATTTCCAAGTTCCAGGGTAAGGAGGTACCCTTAGTGCTTGGAGGGTCAGCTAATATGGATTAGACACGGAAAGTTCTTTGAAGGTGTAGGTACTGGTTGTGAATTCAGAAGGCTGAGCAAGAACTGGAAGGCCAGGTTTAGGGCAGTTTGAACCAGTCACTGGAAGTGATAGGTATGGCTCAGGGTTTGTTGTTGGCGAGGGATGACCTAGGATGCACAGGATAGAAACAGTGTCTCTAGATGGAATCTGGTCCTTGTGACCCAGTAGTATAACTGGGTCTCAATCTATGATGTTGAAATAAAACGATAATAACAATCAAATAATGCTGAAAACCAGGAAAGAGAAAATTAAAATATTTATATTGCTGTCAGCCTCCCACAGTAATGCTCTTTGGGTCAGACTTGTGACTTTTCAGTATGTTTTCCTGAGCTTCTTGCAGATCTTTCCACTCTGCCATTCTTTTCAAGTAAACAGGACCTTGCACTTCAAATATCCTGATTCTCTATGTGCGTGTTATATGTGTGTGCACAGGCCTGCTCTACCATTCAACACCTTATTCTTTGAGTTAAGAACTCAATGAATCTGGAGCTAAGTTGGTAGTCCTGTCTGTACACCCCATACATACCATAGTTACAGGTGCTTGGGCAACCCACTTTTTACGTGAGTGGTCGGATCCAAACTCAGGTCCGCTCACTTGCTTCTACAGGAAGTGCTCCTGTCCACTGAGCCCTCTCCAGCCCCGCTCTTTTAAAAATCGTCACGATGGAGGTAGATCCCAGTGCCTCACAGGCAAGCATACCGAGTCACTAAATTACACTGGCTGTGTCAAAACATCTCACTGCAGATGCCACCTGTGGAGCTCACGAAGCACCAGCTTCACTATACTGCCACACAGTGTGGCTACTCCCAGCTCTGAAGAGACAAGTCCAGGGCAATCACATTTTTATTTTTAAGCAAATCTATTTTTCTGCCTGTTCTCAAGTCACTTAGGGAGAGTCTCTGCTGTTGGACATTTCTTGTCTAGGCCGACTGCAGGTCATGTGCCTTCTTGTGTTTGTTTCCCAATAGTCTCACTTGTTTAGATGAAGCATTTATTTGATACAACATGGGGAACTTGCTAGGACTGCAGCTGGCTTCCTGCCTTGTATCTACACCCTTTTTCCTGCTGAGTCATACAACAGGGGACTGTATGACTTGAGACTTATTAAATATACTTCATTAGAAAGCCAGTCCAGCTAGTTGAACTTGGGATTTTCTTAGGAATACATCTCAAGTAATATTTATTTCCCCAATTCCCTGTATAGCATACTTTGATTTTAATCAATTATATTACCTGCTCACGTCCCCCTTATTCTGACTTCCTATGGTAGCTTTCTCCACTGCTGCTGCGTAAAGATTAGACCCTTAACGAGCTTCTTTGCAGATTCAAGTTTGTTCATCTAATCTCTGGGAATGGGGCAGGTCCAAGGCCAGGCTGTGCTGTCTTCTGATGCTTCACTGTGGCAAGGAGCACAGTGTAGGGCCACCAAACTTTTAGTGAGTGGACATTTGATACAATCAACAGCCCTACTTAAGCCTTACATAAGAGTGTACAGCAAAGTGCAGGGTGAGGTGCTTAGGCAATGTTACAGGATCCTGGCTTTGGATGTTTGGTTTACTTTTAGGAGGGTGCTCTGGAGGGTAGGCAATAGTGATACATCTGCCAAGATGCCAACTACTGCACAAAGCCTGGGAACTTGGCCCTAAAAAGCTTTTTGGAAACAGGTAGAAGCCAATATGTTTTGAGCAAGGGCAGAGTTAGTAATGGGTTTCTCCACAGATGTAATAAACCAATTCAAGCTGAATTAAAAGTCTAAAAGCAGGTTAATTTGGGAATGGCTCACTGTCAGGTTCACAGGTTTCAGAGAATGAGGCCTGAAAAGTTGCCATGCAGACAAGGAGGCAGGGGGAAAGAACCAAGAGAGTGGGGGACAAAGGGAGGGGAGAGAGGGGAAGAGGTAGTGGGGAGGAGGGGGAGAGGGCAGAGTATACATAGAAAGGGGCAGAGGACAGAGAGAGGGAGTAACCAAAATATCTGGATTATATAGGGAAGAGCCTCATATAGAGACTGAGGGATGCTGGGAGAACCTGGAGACCAGGCTCACTTTGATATGTTAGATACCTTAGCCCCTAGTCCTGGGTTTGAAACATAACACTTAGGATTACCAAGTAACTGCTCTCTTTACCAAGTGTCCCAAGCTGCTGTGGTTAAGACCTTAGCATCAGACCTTGAGCATCTAGATAGGATATTCAGAGTTCAAGACTCAGCTTCTCTGTGAAGGGATGGGAAGCGGGGAAGCGACCAGCAGCTTTCTGTTAATTCCCAAATATGAGGAGAGACACTTCCCAGTCTTTTGAGAACAATCTGCACAACAGGGATAGGCGACCACTGAGGGCAGGACCTGGTAAGACACAAGTGGGCTGAAGCAGAGGGTGCCACCATGATATACTGGGGATTTGGGTCTTCCTTAAAATCACTCAGAGGGGAAGTTAATGGAAGGAAGGCTGGGAAAATGTGTCCAAGCTCAGAGCAAACCAGTTTTCCTTTTAACCCTCTATTAGTATAGAAGAAACACAAGTTTTAAAATGAAAGGCAGCTACTGATGGTACGCCTCCTTTCTTTTCAGATGATAATTTACTGTGATGTCCGAGAATTCAAGGTTGCGATAAATGGTGTGCACAGCCTGGAATACAAACACAGATTTAAAGACCTCAGCAGTATCGACACACTGTCAGTCGATGGTGATATCCGTTTGCTGGATGTAAGGAGCTGGTAGCTACCATGACTGCCAAACCCTCGAAATACAACATGGATTATCGGATACTGGCCATGTCAAATGCATCTGCTTTCACCCGTTGTTTCTATTGTTAAGTTGAGCTCCTACAGCATCAAGTCTACTGGTGTTGTCAGGCCTGGCCATGCAGTGTGGCTGCCTCTGCATTCAGAGGAACAGATCCAGGGCAGTCACAGCTCGCTGCCATCGAGGCTCTGCACACTGCAAAACCACACTCAGCAAATATTTAAGTGCCTAATAGACTGCATATACTAGCTAATAGGGATGGCAAGCATATTTCCTGTGTATATTCTCTGAGCTGGCCATAGACATGGCAGTGCCCAGAACTTGTGTGGTCCCTGTTTTCTGGTATGTATGTGTCACATGACCAGTTTCTGATCTCCTAATGTAGGGTCATCTTGCTGGCATTGCATTAAGCCTGCTAGGGGCCTTTGCAGTTAAGGTCAGAAACATATACTAATGGATGGAAAGCACTACTTCCCAGCGATCCTTTTCATAATCAACATTCCATCCTATCTCATAGTTGAGGACTGTATAACATTTATTTAGCTCTTACTGCTAGCTCTTACTGCTTTACACTTTATAAAATGTATCATGCTGACAACACAGCAGACAAATTGAGGCCCAAATCCTCAATTGTGACAAAACAAGTGTTCTGCTGACTGATTGGCACTAGTGTCCAGGGTGGGGGTGTGGGGGGCATGGCAAAGTGAGGTAGAAGTTGGATCTGTGAAAAGGTTGAGCTGTTGTGGAGACCAGCCCTCGTGCCTTCGGGTCTGAAGATGTCGGCCTACATCTGCAGTGAGAGGTCAGCCACTGCTCTGTCTGCAGATTCAGCTTCTGTGCCCCTGTAACTTCCAGGATGTGACTGGAGCTCTAGGCAGTCTTTTCTTCACAGGTCCAATCTTGTTACACATGTCAAAGGTTTGGGTGTGGGTAGAGGAAGAGCTAATGTCATGGGGTCACTGTATGATACTAAGCCACTGGATAGAATTCTGCCAGGGTTTAGGAGTATTCAGTCAGTTTGCCCAGATACATGTACTCATACATACAAAATACCATCAGCAATATCACTTTTTAGGAAGGCCTTTTTACTCAAGGCTGCAACTGCTAGTTCCTCATTTTCATGCAAATTTACTGTTTACTCTTAAAAACTCATATGGGGTGGTGGGTGGAACTGGGCAATCTGTAGGGAGGCCAGAGGCTCTAGATCCCCAGTTACTTCATAAGGAATGCATTCATTACTGAGATGTTTGAGGCTGAAAGGCACTCAGGAAAAAAAGCCCATTCATACAAAAGCTTTTTTACACAAAGCTATTAAGACTGCTTTTGAATAGATTCAGTCTTAGATTCTGATCTTCTGCTGGAATTTATTAGGTTGTGAGACATTTCGTTGTATATTCCTAAGTTCTGTCTCTAAACTGCAAAATGCTTTTTTCCTTGTCCTAATTATGCATTAAAGTTTTATATTAAATTAGAATGAATACTCTCTGGAATAATTCTTCCAGGTTGTAGATGCTGAAGGCAAACTGGTTTAATTGTGTTGGAACTCTTGTTTTCAGCCTCACCTAACAGTTCTAGAACTTCAAAACCACCACTCGTGTTGCTATCCTTCCTGTGTGCTGTTGGTCAGGTGTGGGTTGTTTCCCAAGCAGCATATCTCCCACACACACATCCACAGCCCTGAGTCAAACTGCCAATCTACCCCAAATGAATGACAGAACCTCCAGTGGCTGTCCAGAAACTCTTGCTGAACGCTGCTGCACGATGCCACTTCCTTGAGACTACTCCTGTGGGTTGTAGGACTTCTAACACATATACCACACAGCAGGTGCTGCTGCAAGGAAGCATTAGGCCTCAGGTACTGATATTAAACATGCCTGTCTCAACCAGAACACCATTCAGGATAAAGACAAATACCAGTTTGTATAAAAATACCATCCAGTTTACTCCTTAGCAACTCTGTACAGAAGGCAGGATGTGAAAGTACCAAAAGTAACATGGTACCATGCCCCCATTAAAACATGAGAGTACACGTGAGCTCTTCACAGAGCACAAGGCAGTGGGTGGATGTGCTGCTGCTTCAGAAGTAGCTCTGCAGCGGCTCCCCCAGCACGGCCTCCAGCTGCTGGATGGTCTTCTGGCACTGATGCTCCACTTCTTCACACTCATCTGACAATGGAAACCACAATTAGAAACCACTGTTCTGTCAGGGTACAGGAAGCAAGCACTAGCAGGCTGTGACCTGAGGTGCTCCCCAACTGTCCCCCATTCCTCACAGGCATGCTCTTGTTCTTGTCCCAGGGGCTCTCCAACTAAAGGGTGTGCTTCTGGCCAGATGCACAGCCAGGTATCTCCTTCCTCACCATCACTAATTAATATGAAGGGCATTGGGTGGTTCAGTGTAGAGGCATGCCAATTAAGAATGTTCCTGTTTAAACCTGCCCCACCTGCCACTCAGTGCTATTATCAAAGTCTTAAAACTTTCTAAGCTCTTGTTTCTTAGGTTATTTTAAAACAGGCAGTATGAACCCACTGTGAGTACTGAGTAAGATGATGTCAGCACCTAACACCGAGCACCAGCAAGTACACCCCATCATCCCAGTGGACAACTGCCTGTGCCCTTAATGGCATAGACAATGACTCACAGTGTTAGCTCCAGACTTACCTTCCATCAATTCTGCTAGGAAAGGAATGGACTCTGGGAGCAGAACAATGTAATTCTCTCTCAGCTTTTCAGCCAGTGCCAAGACAGTAATCAAGGCTGCAAACCGCACCTGGAAGGAATAATCATCAAGAATGAGACCATGTCGTCTGTCTGTCGACACAACAGTGCTCTTTTACACCCTCACTGTGATCACTCAATGTCCACCAAAGAATACTACTGCGTGGCCATGGAGAGCTATCTAGACTAAGGGTAGTCTACATAACAAACTGTCTCAAACTGTGTTCTAGCACTGCAGCTCTTGAAAATGTGAAGAAAAAAAAAAGCTTTTCTAAACAAACAAACAAACAAACAAACAAAAAACTCACAGAAAAGCCAGTAAGATGGCTCAGTGGGTAAAGGTGCTGCCACCAAGCCTGGTGGCCTGAGTTCAAGCCTCAGGACCCACTTAATGGGGGAAAAAAGAGAACTGACTCTTGCAAGTTATCCTCTGACCCACACACATACACCACAGCAAGCTTATGCCCCTACTCTAATCACATAAATGTAAAATAAAACAACGCCATATGCAAACTTAAGGGAGTCATAACATGGACCTAGCTGGAGATGGTTTGTTGGGTTGCCTAGACTGTGCCAACCTGGTGGTGATGTGCCTCTGGCAGTCCCTGAAAGACCAGGACCCCCACTAGCCTCGTCTCATTTCAGCACTGAATAAAAGCTTAGGTGTTTCTCTCCATATACACTTCCTATCACAAGCAATGCAAGTAGCTATGAGGTATTAATAGCAGAATGCTAAAACAAAACAGTCTCCTTTCTAATTTGGAATAATTTTCATAATCAAAAATTTGTCAGACGGGCGGTGGTGGTGCACGCCTTTAATCCCAGCACTTGGGAGGCACAGGCAGGCGGATCTCTGAATTCGAGAGTTCGAGGCTAGCCTGGTCTACACAGTGAGTTCCAGGACAGCCAGGGCTACACAGAGAAACCCTGTCTCAAAAAAACAAAACAAAACAAAACAAACAAAAAAAAATTGTCTCTGCAACTATATGAAAGATAGCTTTACCATTTTTTTTTTTTTGTTTTGTTTTGTTTTGGAGACAGGGTTTCTCTGT